AGAGAGAGAGAGAGAGAGAGAGAGAGAGAGAGAGAGAGAGGATAACTCACACACACATTCCATCCATAGCATGAGCAAAAACGGAAGGAATCTTCCGCTGAAACGTGGAAATATACACTGCCACTTTTTGAGCAAAATCGGAATGAATCGTTCGTGTGGGCCTCATTTGTTCACCTTATAATACAAAAAAAAAAAAAAAAACCAAGAGATGTAGTCGCTCTTGGATGTTTGTCGCCCTTTATTTCTGGTTTCAAATTTTGGGTCAAGTTGTATACTTTCTTTTGAGTTGCAGACCATGGGACGCTGGACCTGCTTTCCAGCACAGGCTTCACTCCGGGCCTCATTTGTTCACCTTATAATATAATGTTCACCTTATAATATAAGCTGCAACCAGAAGCGAGGCCCTAGATCTGAACGACCAGAAGCCGGGGGGAATGTGAGGCTTGCGCGGGTGGAGCTTGTCCATTGCGCAGTTCGTGCCGCAGCGGCGACGCGGCAGAGCGCCAGCTCTAATGGCGCCAGCGCGTTCATTTCAGTTGAATCCGCCGCGCGGGAAATTTGTTTTGCGGGCAGAGGATTATCGGTACTACAGTAGGTAGTTGCCTTCCAGCTCGATGATCCGATGAAGCCGCGTGCAACCGAGCCAACAAGCAATTCATGGCCGAGTCCTCTGACGGAGGATGGATTGACGGTTAATTGACAGCAGCCAAATGCTCCCAATCCTGTTCCGATAAGTGCCCTTATGCGGCGATGAAGAGAAGCCGGTTGGGGGTGGGCACGCCGTGGCGCCAGGTGCCAGCGGGCAGAAGTGCGGTGTGGTGGGGGAGAAGGGTGTAGAAGGCAGGCACGGGCGGCGAAGCGTGCAGTAGCATCGCCTTAGCGCAAATACAGGGGAGAGGAACGACAGGGCGACCATGACGACTCCAGGGAAGCGCGAATGTGGGGAAGGGGAGAAAGCCGTGGAAGCTGATGGGAGCAAAGGGGTGGCTGGCGACGGCTGGCTTCAGCGTATGGTAGTCAGTGTTTAAACTGGGGATGATGGAGGGAGAGGGCAGGGCCAAGCGCGCAGCTTTCTTTGCCTTAATTTTGTTGGTGATAGCTGCAATATAGTCGATGGCTAAGGAACCGGAAGTGTTTTACTAGTGCACTAATTAGTTAGTGGAAGGGCGGGATTGACGCGAGCATTCGTGCGCTCTCTCGCGGTGGCTCGCTCGCTCGCTTGTTAGTTTTCCCGCTTTCTTTGCATCCGTGTTGATTAGGGTTTTTGGCGTCATTCCGCGCAGATCCGGAGGGTTTATAGGTGAAAGGGAGGCAGCTACGTTGCAGAGTCAGAATGGGAAGATCGCGAGGAAGCAGCCACGGCGGGGCTCAGGGAGGAGGCGAGGAAGATCCTCTGACCTTTGGCGCCAGGTGAGTCCACGTTTTTTGAATTCTCTCTCTCCCTCTCTCTCTCTCTCGCTTAGTAGCCGGGCCCGCCGGCTCGGCTCATCGTCATCAACGACGCTGGTTGCGCGCTTGGCCGCCGATCTGCTCCACGTTTTCTGAATTCATTTCTTCCTTCGATGACGAAAAGTGAGAAAAAGAGTCCCATATCCGTCTCTCCCCGCCACCCACCCCCTGGTCCCCCGCCCCCGCCCCCGCCCCCACACCAACCACCAGCATACTAGAGGAAAGAAGGAAGGAGGGGTGTAGAAAAAGGCGGCAAGAGGCGTATATTTTCGCTTGATTCTATCTCACAAGCTTTGCATCAGAGTCTGTCGGATTACCAGCCAACCAAACTCAGCAGGCCACCTTTTTGTCTATTGTAGGCACACGATCGCAATTTGAAGAGTCAATTCGGGGGTGTCAAACAAGAAATCGAGGGAAATTGTCCGGTCCTGAACGCTGAAATTCGGAGAAGAAGCCAATCCTATGCTCCTCCAAGAAGACTTGTATGTATACATTTGTATATATTTCCCCTTTTCTTTAGAGCAGCTGAGTGACGGAGGAAAATATCCGACGCACTCTTCGGAATGTCAAGAGATCGGAGAAGAATAAAAACAGTCAAAAATTCTATTTTTGTGAAAGGCAGGAAGACGTGTATGCATTGCCAACGCACAGCAGTTTTCGAAAATTCTTCCCAAAATAAAAAAAGGAGTATGTGTGTGTGTGTGTGTGTGTGTGCGCGCGGGAGAGTTTTTAACGGTGTAAAGAAGCTATAAACAACGGAGTAAGTCTGAAACACCCTTGCTATTGTCGACAGTGCCTTCTCCCTTCTTTTTATCCCCTTTTTCCCAGTATGCAACCATACTCGTCTTCTTCCCTATTCAGCATGCATGAAATCAGATGGCAATCACACTGGCGCCAGGCCGCCACACAAAGCTCAGAGATATCGAGGCCAGAAAAAAACAGTTCAGATTCAAACTTGCTTCGGATGGCTATGGCGCCTGTGAGCCCACTCAACACTCCATCAACACTGTATCCCCGGCAACTGTTCACACGCACGCTACTCTGGATCTCCCTGGATGTCCCACACACACACCCACTCCACACAACACTCTCACACATACACTATACAGCCTATCTCTAACCTACGGCAGCTATGGCTGCCTTCTACCTCCTAGGTACTAGCGGCTATGGCCGCTTTGTCTCCCTCTTAGCCCACTTCTTCTTCGGGCACCTGCAGACCTCCTCGCACAAGACGCTCAGGCAGCGCTTCCGCACGGCTCACAGGCGGAATGAATGAATGACTGGACGCTGCCTCTTGATTTATAGTCCGGATGGTCGCTGGTCTGCCCCTTTGCACGGGGCCCAGGGTGCAAACAGTCCCAAATGGTACTTGCTGACTGGGCAAAGTGCGACTGGGACTGGGTACCACTGACTAGGCAGGTTGAACTAACCACTTGCCCACTTGCCTATAGACCTTAGCCTAAGACTACACGAACCTTCGGGAAGTCCGTAGACTTGACCCTTTGGTACTGTAGCAGCTACGACTTGACCTAGTCCCACATGGTACTTGCTGACTGGACAAAGTGCGACTGGGACTGGGTACCACTGACTAGGTGAGGTTGGACTAACCACTTGCCCACTTGCCTATTGACCTTAGCCTAAGACTACACGGACCATCCAGAAGTCCGTAGACTTGACCCTTTGGTACTGTAGCAGCTACGACTTCTACCCCTACTAGGATTCCTAACCGACAGATTTACAGTTCGAGACCCAACGACCACACTAACCTGCGACAGACAACAGGCGACTACCAAGACATAGATCGCGGGTTCAAACACACACAGGGCAACTAACACTATACACGGGTAAGGCGAGATCCGGGGATCGAGCGGAGGAAACGGGAACTGCTATCATAAAGGTGAAAACCGTTTCACTCCCGCCGGCCTAAATTTGAGGTCCTTCGAGAATATATCAATCTATAGCAGTATCTTTACCTTTCTTAGCTCTTTCATAGGCATGGATTACATCGGGAGCAGTCTCTAGAAGTTCTGTTCGGGTAAACCAGTGGTCGTCTTCCGGTTCCTGGTAAGAAAATATGACTTTGTACTGTTTCTGTGGACGGCCTCTACCTCCTGTTCTGAATACATTGTCGTCTACTATGTGATCAATGTTGTACCTTCGTCCATATTCGGAGGGATCATGGACCTCCTTGATGGAATTGCTGAGTCGTAGTACAAGGCAACAACTTTGATGCATGAAAAACTGGGTAGGTGTGGAGGTGTGCTGGGATCTCTACGGTGTAGGACAGTCCATCATCTCCGCCCTTAACTTCTAAGACTGGCCACGGTCCTCTATATGCAGGCAACAACTCTTGTGAGATGTTCTCCTCAAGGACAAACTCTTTGGACTTGACCCAGACTAAGTTGCCTACTTGAAACTGTGATGGGCGACGATGCTTATTAGCCTGTTCTATCATCTTATGCTCGGCCTTCCTGAGGTTCTCGACTATTGTGGCAATCTCTTTCTCATGCTGTAATGCAAACTCCCTAGTACTGGGCGGTAGCCTCTGAATCTGATCGCGATTAAGTCCTTCAAACGGTTTACGTGCTTTGAAGGACTTATGTGGCTCATTGGGAGTGTGACAGGTTGCTAGGTGAACGCTATTGTTGTACGCACTGACTACCTTTGGGAGCATCTCGTCCCAGTTAACTTGATCGGGCCTAATGTACGTTCTAAGAACTTGTTGCAGTATTTTGTTCAGACTGACCGTTAGTCTCTGGATGACGGCCTAACGACATCAACAGCCTAGAGCCGTAGACTATCACCAATTCCTGCCAGTTCTGACTGGTGAACCTGGTATCTCCGTCACTCACTATGGACAGTGGTAGACCATGCTCACTGACCCAATGATCAAAGAACTTCTTTATTACGAAGTCGGTGCGTGCCTTTGAAGGCAAAGGAATAAAAATTGCATATTTGCTAAACCTATCGAGTACAACCATGACTTGGCTCTTACCAAGCCTGCTTCGAACCCCAACATCCATGAAATCGATGGATACAAAATCTCCAGGTCCTGAGGGAATAGGCAAGGGTCTGAGAAGACCTAGAGGGGCTCGCGTAGTGGTCTTGTTTCTCTCGCATACCTTACAATTGCGTACGTACTCTATGCAGTCAACCTTCATGCCAGGCCACGCATACGCGCTAATGGGATTGGCGAACGTCTTTTGCCAACCGAAGTGTCCCTCTGTGTCATGGCATTCCCTTAGGATCAGGCTACGAATCTCTTCATTATTAGGAATGCACAGTCTATCCACTACATTAGGCTTCTCAAATAGTAATGCGTCTGTAGTGCGGTAATGGGGCTCAGTTTTTGGAGCCTATTTGACTCTCTTGAGAAGGTCACTATAGATAGGGTCCTGCGCATGCGCATCCTTGGCCTTCCGCTGCAGGTCTCTTCCTATATCCATATAATGTACTATCGCTCCAAAGTAGTCTGCTCTCCTACTCAAAGCATCTGCAATTACATTGTACTTCCCCTTGATAGGCTTGAGCTCGAAGTCGTACTGATCTATCTCGGCGGCCCACCTAGTAAGCTTTGGTGTCATCTTGGCCTGAGTCTTCAACCACCTCAATGTCTCGTGGTCCGAGTAGATTTTGAAGTGCCTCCCAAACAAGTAGTGCTTCCGGCGGTCTAACGCTTGCCTGAGAGCGTTGAGTTCACAGGCCGATGTCGCTACCTTCTCTGAAGGCATCCTAGCGGATATGAACTTTACCTTGTTATTCGCATTGTCGTCGTCATGTTGTAGAACAACACCTATTCCATACTGACTCGCATTAGTGGTGACAACAAAAGGCAAAGACGAATCGACTACCTTGAGGACTGGGTACTCTATTAAGGCCCGCTTCAACTTCTTTAGGGCCGATGTACAATTTTAGTCCCATTTCCAGATTGCCTCCTTCTTGAGCAATCTGCGAAGGGTACCAGCGATCGCGGAGTAGTTCCTCACAAACTTCCAGTAGTAATTTGCCAATCCTAAGAACGGCCGCAATTATGTCAATGTGCGGGGTATTGACCAGTCTCTAATCGCTGCTATTTTACTGTTCTCAGATGTTATACCATCTCCATCTAGAACGTGGCCCAAATACAAAACATGCGTCTTGGCCCATTCACACTTCTTTGCGTTGATTTTGAAGTTAGCCTCTCTTATCTTCTCCAAAACCTGCCTCAGATGAACCTCATGCTCTTGGAGGGTTTTGCTAAATCTTAGAATGTCATCCAAGTAAACAACTACAAATCTGTAACGATCTAAACAATTCGTTCATACAATGCTGGAATGTGGCCGGTGCGTTGGTTAGTCCCAAGGGCATCACTATGAACTTGTAGTGCCCATATCTAGTCCTAAACGTCGTCTTGTACTGATCATCTAGATGAACTTCAATCTGGTGGTACCAAGACTTCAAGTCTATCTTCGAGAAGTACTTGCAACCCTGCACCCAATCTAATAGATCGTCTATAGGGGGCAGTGGCTCTGCACTCTTCACAGTAACGGTGTTAAGACCCCTGTAGTCTATGCACATTC